CGCCGCCACCTCTGAGCCCGCTCTGGGGCCTGCGCCCGCGGTCTCCGCCATAGCAGCGCCGCTGCGCGCCGGAAGTGGCGTCAGATACGCGCCGAGGGGGGTTGCTAACGGGCGAAAGGCGAGCCCAGAGGGGCGGGCCCGAGCGTTTCTAGGACACGGCGGAGCTGCGGCCTGCAGCGCCCCCCAGTGTTCCCAGTACCTCCCAGGGAGATCCCACTGCTCCCAGTGTCCCCCAGTGACACCCCTCCCCACAGTGACCCTCCAGAGCCTTTAATGCCACCCTCGCTGTGCCCTAAGCTCACTTTTATTTGGCAGAATTGGTATCATTTTAGCTGGGAGAGGGTTAATTTTCTTCACCAGAGCTGTGAACAACGAGATAACTTAACCCTGTTTCGGTGGCAGCCAAGAAACGTTTAGATCAAGTAAAGGGCTGTTCTTCAGGCCTTTTTCCAGCTCTGAGGGAAATCTGCCCAGCTTGCTCCGGAATGGGAACACAGACCAGTTTGTGTAATTAACTTGTGCCAGCCTTGGACAGGAACACAGGCTGATTGCACTCGTTGAAGAGAATAAGCAGGGGCTGAAGGATGGACAGTTTTGCTAATCTGGCCAAGACACAGCACAGATGTTGGAAGTTTGATGACCCAGTGATCTGGAGAATTTACAACCCAGCCTAATTACTGCCACTGCTTCAGGGAGATTTGTGCCTCCGACTATGCCGACTACGCCGACTACGCCCAGGAAAAGTAATTTTGACTAAAGCACTGAACTCAAGCTCAATTTTTGTCGTTGGCACATGTCTCAACGGCAGTTCTCAATCTGTTCTGTCTGTCATCTCAGTAAGTCATTGATCTGTTTCAGCTTTGTGAAAACACCAGGTGGTTTTGGAACACGGTTTTATTTCTCACTATTGTACTTTGGTTCGCTAGGCACTAACGAGGCTGCCACCACGACAGACCACAGCATGGAGACAGAATCGCCCTGTCCTGTCCTGCCGAGTCCCAGAGTGAACCCAGTCCAGCTCCACGTGGCACCAGAAGCCACACGCCAGGTTCAGCCATAGCCTGGTGGACACCACGCCAGGCCACCAGGCTCCTTCATTAGCCTCTAACAGGAAAGCCACAATGATGGACCCCACCACAGAGACGGTGGCACCCATCTCATCCTGTTGGCGGTCCCCGTCCTTCTGCAAGCATCCTAGGGGCCACACGCCAGGTCCTCCTTGTGGTGGTCCTTCATGTGGTGGGTGAGCAGACTCTTGCAGTGGAAGAGCTTGCCGCAGTGCTTGCAGCCGTAGGTCTTATCCTCAATGTGGGTGCGTTTGTGGTTGGCCAAAGTGGAGCTGCGGTTGAAGGCACGAGCACAGATGGGGCAGACATAGGGCTTCTCCCCGGTGTGGGTCCGGAGGTGCTTGAGGAGGTCGGAGGTCCGTGCGAAGGCCTTCCTACACTCAGGGCAGGTGTAGGGCTTCTCGCCGGTGTGGGTCTGGAAGTGCTCGGTCAAGGCAGAGCTCTGGCCAAAGCTCTTCCCGCACTGGTCACAGGTGTAGGGCCGCTCTCCAGTGTGGGTCAGCTGGTGCCGGAGGAGGTTGGAGCTCCACCTGAAAGTCTTCTCACAGTCAGGGCAGTGGTAGGGGCGCTCCCCTGTGTGGCTCCGCTGGTGCTGGATGAGCCTGGAGCTCCGCTTGAAGCTCCTCCCGCACTCCCCACAGCGGTAGGGCCACTCGCTGGTGTGGGTCAGCTGGTGCTGGATGAGGTTGCAGTTCCACCTGAAGCTCTTCCCGCACTCGGTGCAGTGGAAGGGCCGCTCGCCGGTGTGGGTCAGCTGGTGCTGGATGAGGGTAAATCTCTGCCTGAAGCCCTTCCCGCACTCCCCACACTGGTAGGGCCGCTCGCTGGTGTGGGTTTTCTGATGCTGGACGAGCCTACACCTCCACATGAAGCTCCTCCCGCACTCCTCACACTGGTGAGGTCGATGGCTGTGGTGGGGCTTCTGGGGTGGGACGAGGTTGGAGTTCTGGGTGATCTTCCCAGTCTTCCTGCGGCTGTAGGGATTCTCGCCAGCGTGGGTCCGCTGGTGCTGGATGAGGCGGTGGCTCTGCCCAAAGCTCTTCCCGCACTGGGGGCAGGTGTAGGGCTTCTCACCGGTGTGGGTCCGCTGGTGTCGGGTGAAGCTGGATCTCCAGGTGAAGGCCCTGCCACACTCCTCGCAGCGGTAGCGCTGCTCGCCGGTGTGCATCAGCTGGTGCTGGATAAGGTTGGAGCTCCACCCGAACGTCTTCCCACACTCAGGACAGCGGTAGGAACGCTTGCCTGTGCGCGTTCGCTGGTGTGGGAGAAAGTTGTAGCTGTGACTGGGCGTGTTCCCATACTTGGGGCAGTGGTAGGGCCTGCCCCATGGGTCTTCTGCTTTCTCCCAGTTCCCCCAGCACCCTCCCAGTGCCCCGTACCTTCTGGACGTG